ACACCAGCGTGTGGTGAACAGCAGTCGGAGCGGACCCCATAGTCATGAAGACCTGCCGTTCAGTGAGGGTAACCGGCAACCTATGCTCTGGTGCTTGGGGTGGCGAACCACAAAGACCTCGTTAGCCCAGGTGCGGTGCAGACCTGGGCGACAACAAAGCTGCCTACCACCAAAGTTGGGTGGCGGTGGCGGGGCTCAAACCTCGGACCACAGGGTTCAAAGCATTTGACTAAACCACTGCGCCACCACCACCCTATTGACACCTTTACTTTTTGATTCAGTTTCATCTTTTACAACCGTTAACCATGCATTTTCAGGCACCGGCTTTAGTTGCAATTTTTGACTGTCAGTTTGAATAAAAGGGTAGAATCAATATTGGAGTGTTGAGAGCAGAGTCAAGTAAACTGGGGTTGCAAGAACAATGAGTAGATGCACGAGCGCCACCGTTTACGACACAGTCATATTACTCAGTGTTTCTAACCACCGGTTACCACCATCTTGAGGCCCCCATCCAGGAAGCCTAACGGGACTTATGTGACCCAGTGTCTTGGTGAGGGTTTTCATGCCCTCGTGCAAGGTCTTAATTTGACCACTTATTCCAGTGGACGACCGCGATTACCTAGATCTCTGCGCCTAACCTCATCATTGTTTGTCCGGTTTCCCCACTAAACTCGTGCAATGCAACGTAGACAGCGGTGTTCACCACTCGCTTTCCGTGGCGAACTCGGGCGAAAAATTGCCGTACGCTCAGACTCGGCTCCGGCTGTCGATACGAAGAAATAGTAAAATTAAAATAAACTTCTCGGGCATCCTCTTCAGAAAAATGCAGTGCCGTAATTAGGAGCGGTCGACTGATTCGACAGCTCCTTTCTGATCAAATTATAAAATTGTTTAAGGTGGCCCTGATCAAAAGAATCCTTGAATTCAAGTCGATAACTTCGCAACAATATCAGCAACGCGAAGGGACCGTGACCAATTTATTTGCTGCACAATCAAAGCTGATACACATCAAAAAGAGGGGTAACCGCTATATCATTAGCTGTGTGTAATGGTTAAACATTGTACGTAGCTATTAAACAAAAACAGCAATTTTGATCGTCCATTCCGGCTCGAGATCTGATATAAATTTTGAAACGGTATTGTCTACTAAAAATACTGACTGGTGTCAATATTAAAAGTCTTAAGGTCCTTAGAATGGGATCATCTGAAGGCGCGTTATATATATATATA